TCGAAACGCAGGTAAGGTCAGCGTCGGCTCAAAGCGTCGGCGCAGGATTTTGCTCGGCGGGGGTCGTACGGACCTGCGACGAGCTCGTCGTACGACCGCGGCTTGTACTCCGCCACGCCCGCCGCCGGATCCGCTTCTGCCGCCGCCGCCGCGCGCACGACTCGTGCTGCATTCGCGCTACTGCGCGACTCGTTGCGACGAACCAGCGAGGCATTCTTTATCAAGCGCGCTCTCCGCGTTGGAAGGGCGCGCGCCGGCAACGCCTTGTCGCTGCTGCTCCCCCCCAGTTGCGCTTGGCGCGCTTGCAGCCCGGCGTTGGAGTGTGCGACGGTAACGGCGTGCGCCATCACGGCAGGCGATGCGGCTCGCACGACGCGGAGAAACAACGCCGACTGACTCGCTGGCAGCCGCGAAAGATTGGTGGCGATGATGATGGATCGCGGGGGAGAAAGCAAATGCGATGGAGCTGCCTCTGTTGGGCCAAGCAGCGGTGAATCGACGTTGGTGCAACGCAATCGAGGCAGGGGCAGGAACCTGGAGCTCGTGACGTGGCGCTTGACGTGGTGAAATTGGAGAGACTGACAGGTGGCACGTGGAGGCTGTAGGCGAATTGGCAGAACCGTTCAAAGTCGCGAACGTAACGAGTTTCGATTCGACCCATCAATTCACGACGTATTTGTTCGAGCCCTCGCCGGTCGTTGGCGATATGCCACGCCCTAAAGAAGTTCAGGGCTCGAATGTGCACCATACTCAAAACAAACTGTATGTTACCGAAACGTTGTACCACATCCCCCCAAATTGGAGTGTGTTGCAACACTTCATGGGAAGACACCACCAAAACAAGTCTGTACAGTCGCAATGCAACAATAAAAGATGAACGATTTCGTAAGCACCAATCACATACGCATGCGGCTTGTAATACCGTCAATTCACGACTATTTGTTTTCGCTTTCGTGCTCGTAAACCATTCGGATCATCGACCAGTAACCAGACACTGCTCGACTTCTCTCACGCCAAGCCGAACCCGAAGTTACACGCCCTAAACTTCCAACCTAACAGAATATCAAACCAAACCGGCAGAACCTATTTCTCATACCTGTCTCCACATCTACCCGCGCCAGTCCCCCATTTCAGCCGTGCCCGCGTCAACCGTCTCGTACGTAGACCGCCGTTCGTCTGTGACCTGTCCTCTCAGCAGAGGGGGCTGAACTCGCGTGCCGTCACTTGCTGCGCGCCGATCGCACTCTCGCTGGTCCGCCATGGCACACGCAGCTCGCATCGCGCGGCAGGCCGTGCAGGCCGCGACGAGCGCGCGCGTGCGATTCTCCACGGAGGCGGCGAAAGCCTCGCGCGAGACGCTGGTGAGACGAGGGGCGGGTGGGGCGGGCAGCGGGTGAGCCCCACACCGAGCTGAGCGTAGCCGTCGATCTTACCGCGTCTCGCCTTGTGGGCGGTCGTCGATCTTTTCCATGCTGCCATCTCCCTCCCACTGCTGTAGCCCCCCCTGGCCGCGCGGTCCACCTTGGGTGCGCGAGGTGCACGACGCGAGGCGCGCTTGCCGCTCCACACTTGTCCACCTCAGCCGCATTATTTAGCGTTCTGCGCTCGGAAACCGCCCTCCGTCTTGGCATCTCGCTCGCTGGCCGCCCGTCACAAAGCCCCATCGCTTTCGTGCCATTGTCCCCCCTCCCGCCGCCTGCCCTCTTACTCTCTCTCCGACGCTCGTCCGTCCCTTCCCCCCCCACCTTCCCCCCGTCCCCAGCTGGTGGAGGACGACGCGGCGCTGCGCAAGTACAACCCGCAGAAGGCCGCCATGGCCGCCTGCAACACCGTTGGTAACGCCGTCACGGCGCTCGTGCTCGCAGGTACTGCACCGTGATGACGTGGCAGCAGCCCTCAGCACGTGGCTGCCTGATCACGTGGCAGGCCGATTTGATATTCATGCTTGTCGTGCCGGGTGCGAGCATCATTCGCCGGCCTATGAGCTTGTCTGTGCAGGTCATTGCAAGCTGGCATTGCAGCAAGAGCACCGGCATTGAGAAACGCATCCCACCGCACAGCGTTTGTTGCTGGCGTGAATCGCCAGTGCTGTGCGTGCCGCCTTCCATGCTGTGCTGCCACGTGCCCTCTCCCACTCCCTCACACTCGTGTGCCCCTCCCTCCCTCCCTCCCTCCCTCCCTCCCTCCCTCCCTCCCTCCCTCCCTCCCTGCGTGCATGCATGGCAGCGGCGGCCGTGGACCTGTCGTACCGCGTCATGAACGCGCGCACGGACCAGTGAGCCTGCCTGCGCTGCGCCACCTGAGGCCGTGCCACACGGCAGGTGCGGCACGGTGGTGATGCCCCCTGCATGGGCTGTGTGGCCGTGCCGTGCCATGCCAGACCATGCCATGCCATATGCACTGAGATTGCAACAAGACTTGTGGTGGCATGCATTACGACGCACAGGGCCGTCCTCCACTCACTACCTCTCGTCATGTGCCTCAATGCCACTGCCACCTCATGCCCCAGCCCCACTGCCTTCCCCGCTTCCCTAACCATTCATCCTCTCCACCCCGCCTGCTACCCATCCGCCCCTGACTTCTCCCCCTCGCACTCTTCCCACCCACCATGTCACCTCGAAGCCAGCACCATCACCCGCATCGCCGTGCTTGCCTCCACCACTATCATGCTCTCAACTCCACTGGCCGCTGTGATGCACATGGATGGCTCATACAATCACCAGCTAATTTCTGTGTATGGCTAGGATTCCTGGAATGTTGGCTGTGTACAGCAGTGTGCCTATCAAAACTGTGTTCAACGAGTGTAGTAAGGAAAGTTGAAATGGCATCAGCAAATTGTGAAATGGAATATACAGGTTTGCTACCCAACCGAAGAAGAAAACCTCCACGTATTATGACCTTCATGAGCACGCTCTAAAGCGAACCTGTCGTTCAGTTCAATCCCAGCTGCAGCCTACGATTGGTTAGTCAAAGCAATCTGGTTGCGCTACGTGGCGACATGCACCACTCCCGGCGCTCCTCGATTCTCTCGCCTCTACCGCCCACAGGGAGGCGAAGGGACAGGCCAGGCAGGCACCCAGCTGAAACAGAAGAGCTTCATTTCAGAGGGCGGCGGTTTCAATGAGTCAGGCGCGCTGTCGCGACGAGGTCCGCGCGAGCTGCGATGCGGAAGGCGGTGGTGACGAAGAGGGCTCTAGACGCTGCGAAAATGTGATCTCGTCGCGCCAGCTTCTTGCGTTCCTTCGTAGTTGTTCCACGCCGTTGGCGAGCTCTGGTGAAATTGTTGGCGAAAGCGCGGAGAAGGCGAGGCGAAGAATGGTTGAAACGTTTCTTGGCGCGCGAGAGGCGCGGGCGAGCGTTACGAGGCGCACGCGTGCTACGGGCGAATCGCGGATGAACCGGATAGTAAGCACGCGGCACGGGCAGAATGGAGGTGGGAGAGGCGGGTACCCGTGTGAGTGGGGTGGTAGTGCGGGTGCGGGTGGTGACGCGGAATGGCTCGGCGGCCGCAGCAGCGACGAGGAGGCGAGCAGCGGCGAGGAGGCGCGCGACGAGGCGCAGCTGGGCGAGCTGCTCCCCGTGGCCGGCGCCGAGTGGCTCGCGGACGCGCCGCACGCGGAAGTCGCGCAGGCGGAAACTGGTGAGGCGAATACTAGGCGGGCGGTAACGGGTCAGGCGGAAAGCAGGGAGGCGGAAACGGGGCAGGTGGAAACGAGGGGAGCGGAAACTATGGGGGCGGAAACGAGGGGAGCGGAAACGAGGGGGCCGGAAACGAGGGGGGCGGAAACGAGAGGGGGGGAGGTGGAGAGGGAAAGGGCGGAGCAGGCGCAAGGAGCGAGTGGAGCTGCTGACGCCCATGGCGCGCCCTCGGCACTGGCGACGCCCTCGGCACTGGCGACGCCGCACCCTGCACGTGCTCCCGCTGGTGCCACCGCGGGCGAGGCGCGCACAGCGCCCGCGCAAGTGGAGGCGACTGGCGGAGGGGCGGGGCTGTCGCTGCCTGGCGTGAACGCGCTCGCTGCAGCGCGGGAACGGGAAGAGGAAGAGGAACGGGGGGCAGGGGAAGGAGAAGGGGAAAGGAGGGAAGGGAAAGGGGAAGAGAAGAAAGGGGAAGAAAAAAAAGTGGAAGGGGAAGGAGAGGAAGGGGAGGGAGAGGGAGGAGAGAAAGGTGAAGGAGAGGGAGGGGAAGGGGAGAAGGCGGGTGGAAATGACGGGGGGCGGGGCGAGCAGCGCGCAGGCAGTGAGGGCGAGGCGGGACTCCGCGCGCGCCACCTGCTGGCGCTGCTCAAGGCGGCCGCTGCTGCTGGCGGGCGCTGCTGGCTGCCCGTGAGGTGCGCTGGCGAGGCGGGTGACAGCGACAGCACGGGGCAGGGCGGAGGAGGGGAGAGCGAGCAGGGGCGGCGGGTGGTGGCGGCGTTCCTGCGCGCGCGCGAGGCGGGCGCAGTGGTGGCGCGGGGGAGGGCGGGGCGAAGCGAGGAGAGGGCGCGGAGGAGGCGGAGGCGCGCAGGAAGGGGTGGGCGCGTGGGGAGGGGGCGCTGGCCGGGGGAAAGGGGCGCAAGGCGAGATGGCGGAGCAGGCAGGGAAGGGGACGTGGAAGCGGGGAATGGAGTGGTTGAAGGCGCAGAGGGGCGGCGAGAAGGGGGTGTGCGCACGAATGAGGAGACGGGCCATGGTGGCGATGATAACGAGGGGGGCAGCAGCGACGGCGGCGAGTGCAGCGACGGGCTGGAGGAGCTGCTGGCCGTGGCGGGGTTCGACCGCTGCGAGGAGGCCGAGGTGGCGGGGGAGCAGGTTGGAGAGGTGCGCGGTGTTGCAGCGAGCAGGGTGGTGGTGCTGCCCCGGCTGGCCCGCGTGCAGCATCGAGCTGAGTGGGCACCCGACTCGGTGAGTGGTGTGACAGAAAAGCATGTGTTTCACGTCACACACTGGCCTCTTTCATGCATCCCCACTCTCAACTATCCCCAACACCCCATCATCATGCCCAAAATCCCTCTTTGCATGCTCCAACCCCCTCCCACGCCCCCCCCTTCCCCCTTCCTTCCGGGTGTTTCTCTCACCACTCCCCTTCAGGCATGCGCCCTCCTTGCTGCCACCTACATCGCTCCCCATGCCTCTGCGCCTGCTGCTGCGGCGAGGGTACAGGTAGAGCGTGCGGATGCACTCGTGCTGCGCCGCCGCGACCGGCAGGCCAGCGAGTTGCGGCGGAGGAGCAGGTTGGCCGAGGCAGCTGAGGCTGCAGAGGCGGCACGGAGGGCGGCGGGCGGTGCGGCGCACTCACGTGATGGATTGAGAGAGAGACGGCTGCGGGAGCGGGAGGAGAGAGTGAGGAGGCGAGCAAGGGGGCAGGGAGGGGAGAAGAAGGCGGCGCTTGATGCACGCGGCAGGGCGATGGATGCAGGTGGCAGGGCGGAGGAAGCAGGTGCGGAGGAGGGCGGCATGGGGTTGGCAGGCGAAGGCGGCAGGCACGGTGTGACGCGTGCGGGCGCACTGCATGGTGGGCGCATGCACTGGCGTGAGCGACAACGCGGACAGGGAGGGGCGGAGGGTGGTCAGGGTGTGAGGCGGACAAGAGGGAGAGAGAATGGGATTGTGCGGGTGATTGAGCAAGTGGTGAGGGAAGAGGCTGGGGTGAGTGAGAGCGAGTCCGATGGGCTGGAGGGGGAGATGAAGGAAGAGGTGGAGGAGGGAAGAAAGAGACTGAGGCAGAGGGGGAGTGAGGGCGGTGGGGGGAGGACGAGACAGGAGCGGAAAGGGCGAGGTGGTGTGGGGGGAAGAAGGGCTGATGAGCGAGCAGGTGTGGAGGGCTGCAGGGACGTGGAGAGCGTGAGTGAGGCAGGGAGTGGTGGAGAGGAGAGGGTCAGCAGGAAGGGAACACTAGGAGATACGGGTAGTGAGAAGGGACGGGTAAGTGAGGAGAGGGGAAGAGCGGGGAGAAGTGAGGAGAGGGGAAGAGCGGGGAGAAGTGAGGAGAGGGGAAGAGCGGGGAGAAGTGAGGAGAGGGGAAGAGCGGGGAGAAGTGAGGAGAGGGGAAGAGCGGGGAGAAGTGAGGAGAGGGGAAGAGCGGGGAGAAGTGAGGAGAGGGGAAGAGCGGGGAGAAGTGAGGAGAGGGGAAGAGCGGGGAGAAGTGAGGAGGAGCGGGTGAGAGATGGAGATGTGAGGGGCAGGCCCGTTGACTCGCGGCCGCGTCCTCCCCGGCAGCCCGTGAGGGATGTGGCAGGCAAGTTCGCTGCATGCAGTGCGGTGGCGGAGAAGGGAGGGAGGAAGAAGAGAAGGAGAGGCCAAGACGAGGAACGAGGTGCGGACGTGCAAGGCAGAGTGGAAGGCGGAGTGGGAGTGCAGCGAGGAGAGGTGCAGGGGAGTGGTGGTGGTGAGGGGGGCGTGCACGTGCAGGGCGCAGAGCGGGTAGAGAGGAGAGGCACGGGAGTCCCTGTGACTCCCCAACAGGTGGAGGGGAAGCGACGCAGAGTGGTTGTGGCAGCAGCGGTAAGACCACCAGCACAACCTGCACAAGCACCACCAGTAGTAGCAGCGAGAACAGAGTCTGCAGCAGCAGCAGCAGCAGCAGCAGCAGCAGCAGCAGCACCAGCAGCACCAGCAGCAGCAGCTGCACCAACACCATCAGCAGCAGCAGCTGCAGCAGTGGCAGCAACACCACCACCAGCGGCAGCAGTGGCAGAGGGTGAGGCAGCAGCAGGGGTGGCAGTGGGAAGTGGTGGTGGCGGTGCAGCGGAGGCGGGCTCGTCCCTGCGGGGCACGGTGCGGGGGGGGCTGCGGGCCATGGGGCTGTACGAGGGCAAGCGCGGCATCAAGGCGGAGCTGCGGCGCCAGCAGAGGGGCGTGGCAGCCAGTGCCATGCGCGCCGTGCAGGAGAGCAGACGGGAGGAGGAGCGCGCAGTGCGGGCCATGCGCGCCGTGGAAGCGGCGCAGGTGGCGCGGGTGGCGGCGGTGCAGGCAGAGTGTGACGCGCGCATCAATGCCTTCATGCACCAGCTCTTCCGCGACATGAGCACTCTGTGACCCGTGCTGCCGTGATGGCGCTGGTGCAGCGTGTGGAACGTTGAGTGAGAATGCGGTGACTGTCTGAAGGTCCTTGCACTGCGCTCCGGTACAGTGCAACGAGGCAAACAATATTTTGGCGGAGCCTCTCTGCACACTTTGGGTCTGCACGGTTTATGCTGTGGGTGTGTGTGTGGATAGTGAGTGAAAATGCGGTAGTGTGTTTGAGGAACATCCTTGGACCGCGGTTATAATGGCACTAGCATTTACAGGGCTAAAATGCAATGCAGCAGGTGTCATGATGACCCAACCCCAAACCCCGAGCCACTGGTTGTGTGATGGTTAGACTGGACTCTTGGGAGGAATGTTACTCCGTTAGTCAACATCCATCCAACAGCTCAAAGAATTACAGCCTAGAGTTGTGCTTCTTGGGCTGGTGAGATATTTACAATGTGGGCCACGCTTGTGCAAGTGTGGCAGCACCATGCCAAGCAAGAGGCACCTTCAGGCACGGCAATTCACAAGAGAGGCAACGCCGTGCATCGGCTGCTTCATGCATGAGTGCAGAGAATTCCATGGACTCTGTCAGCCAGGTGAGCATGGGAGAATGCACTCATGCACAACACAAGGCAGCTAATCAAGTGAGCAGGAATCATGGCAGTCCACCACCCGTGCATCAACAGCACGGGCAGCTTTGTCATGGGCGGGGCATGAGGGGTGGGGCGAGGCAGATGGAGGCGTGGGGGTGGGGCGAGGCAGATGGAGGCGTGGGGGAGGTGCAGCAGCAGGGAGGCGTGGGGGAGGTGCAGCAGCAGGGAGGCGTGGGGGAGGTGCAGCAGCAGGGAGGCGTGGGGGAGGTGCAGCAGCAGGTAGGCGTGGGGGAGGTGCAGCAGCAGGTAGGCGTGGGGGAGGTGCAGCAGCAGGTAGGCGTGGGGGAGGTGCAGTAGGAGGTTGGTGAGCCACAGCGGGTGGCGGCGAGCGGAGACAGTCAAGGGAGAAGGCGAGGCGACTGTCAGAGAGGGGCTGCGACTGTCAGAGAGGGGCTGCGACTGTCAGAGAGGGGCTGCGACTGTCAGAGAGGGGCTGCGACTGTCAGAGAGGGGCTGCGACTGTCAGAGAGGGGCTGCGACTGTCAGAGAGGGGCTGCGACTGTCAGAGAGGGGCTGTGACTGTCAGAGAGGGGCTGCGACTGTCAGAGAGGGGCTGCGACTGTCAGAGAGGGGCTGCGACTGTCAGAGAGGGGCTGCGACTGTCAGAGAGGGGCTGCGACTGTCAGAGAGGGGCTGTGACTGTCAGAGAGGGGCTGCGACTGTCAGAGAGGGGCTGCGACTGTCAGAGAGGGGCTGCGACTGTCAGAGAGGGGCTGCGACTGTCAGAGAGGGGCTGCGACTGTCAGAGAGGGGCTGCGACTGTCAGAGAGGGGCTGCGGGGAAGCCAGGGGCGGGATCAGCAGGAGGGTAGCCGAACACAGGGCGCTGGCACCTCTGTGGGGGGCAAAAGAGGGTGGGGGGGAGGGGGGGTGGGTGACGAGCAGGTATGAGAGTGTGGGCGCACGTGCATGTGTGTGGGAGTGCATAAGCGGTGGAGGTTGCAAGGGGTGTGAGGAGAGTGCAAGGGGTGTGAGGAGAGTGCAAGGGGTGTGAGGAGAGTGCAAGGGGTGTGAGGAGAGTGCAAGGGGTGTGAGGAGAGTGCAAGGGGTGTGAGGAGAGTGCAAGGGGTGTGAGGAGAGTGCAAGGGGTGTGAGGAGAGTGCAAGGGGTGTGAGGAGAGTGCAAGGGGTGTGAGGAGAGTGCAAGGGGTGTGAGGAGAGTGCAAGGGGTGTGAGGAGAGTGCAAGGGGTGTGAGGAGAGTGCAAGGGGTGTGAGGAGAGTGCAAGGGGTGTGAGGAGAGTGCAAGGGGTGTGAGGAGAGTGCAAGGGGTGTGAGGAGAGTGCAAGGGGTGTGAGGAGAGTGCAAGGGGTGTGAGGAGAGTGCAAGGGGTGTGAGGAGAGTGCAAGGGGTGTGAGGAGAGTGCAAGGGGTGTGAGGAGAGTGCAAGGGGTGTGAGGAGAGTGCAAGGGGTGTGAGGAGAGTGCAAGGGGTGTGAGGAGAGTGCAAGGGGTGTGAGGAGAGTGCAAGGGGTGTGAGGAGAGTGCAAGGGGTGTGAGGAGAGTGCAAGGGGTGTGAGGAGAGTGCAAGGGGTGTGAGGAGAGTGCAAGGGGTGTGAGGAGAGTGCAAGGGTGTGAGGAGAGTGCAAGGGGTGTGAGGAGAGTGCAAGGGGTGTGAGGAGAGTGCAAGGGGTGTGAGGAGAGTGCAAGGGGTGTGAGGAGAGTGCAAGGGGTGTGAGGAGAGTGCAAGGGGTGTGAGGAGAGTGCAAGGGGTGTGAGGAGAGTGCAAGGGGTGTGAGGAGAGTGCAAGGGGTGTGAGGAGAGTGTAAGGGGTGTGAGGAGAGTGCAAGGGGTGTGAGGAGAGTGCAAGGGGTGTGAGGAGAGTGTAAGGGGTGTGAGGAGAGTGCAAGGGGTGTGAGGAGAGTGCAAGGGGTGTGAGGAGAGTGCAAGGGGTGTGAGGAGAGTGCAAGGGGTGTGAGGAGAGTGCAAGGGGTGTGAGGAGAGTGCAAGGGGTGTGAGGAGAGTGCAAGGGGTGTGAGGAGAGTGCAAGGGGTGTGAGGAGAGTGCAAGGGGTGTGAGGAGAGTGCAAGGGGTGTGAGGAGAGTGTAAGGGGTGTGAGGAGAGTGTAAGCCTCCTCTCATTCAACTGTGGAATGCATGGGAGTGGCGCGCGAGGGGATGTGGCAAAAGAGGGCGACAGCAACACGAGAGTGACAGTGCAGCGGCGGGATGAGGCGTACCTCGTGCAGCGGCGGGATGAGGCGTACCTCGTGCAGCGGCGGGATGAGGCGTACCTCGTGCAGCTGCGGGATGAGGCGTACCTCGTGCAGCTGCGGGATGAGGCGTACCTCCTGCAGCTGCGGAATGAGGCGTACCTCGTGCAGCTGCGGGATGCAGCAGGGCAGGCAGGTGAGCGGCCAGCAGAAGATGAACGCCACGATCGCCGCCAGCCACCCCACGCCGCTCAGCGTCGCCGTCGCACAGCACCCCGTCTGGTGGGGCGAAGGGGAGAAAAGGGATGGCGCGCCAGGCATACGTGAGGCGAGGGAGAAACGGGAACGTATTGTGCGGGCGAGCATGGGGAGGGTGGGAGGTGGTGCTGTGATGACGGCGAGGTGGGCCGTCCACTCTTGCATGCACTAGGTGGGCCGTCCACTCTTGCATGCACTAGGTGGGCGAGTTCATGCGAACGCGTCTAATCGATTCAAACGACTCAAACGCACCAATGACTTGATCCTAGGAAATGAGCAGCCGGCGGGTGGGTGACGCGCGACTCACAGGCGGCGCGCAGGTCTCGTAGCCGAGGATGACCATATCCGGCGAGGGCGGCACCCGCGGCGGCAGCATGTAGAGCCCGGGGATGGGAGCCGGCGAGAACACGGGGAACTCGCCGCCGCTCGCCCCGTGCGCCACCACCACCACGGCGGACGGGCAGCCCGGGGGAGGCGGGAACTGCGGCGGATACGCCCCGCGCGCGGGGGGGTGGTGCGGGTGGTGGGCGTACTGAAAGGCGGGTAGGCCGGAGGCCGGCGCGTGGCTCGCGGCGGCATCTGCGCCGCCGTGCGGGGGAGCTTCGGACGACTCGCTCTGTGGCTTAAGCGGCGTGGAATCCGACGGACCTGCTAGACAACGCACACGAGAGAGACGGACGTAAACGGAAACAGTTAACGTGACGACACGTTGACAGAATTGTTGTCCCGTTTAACAAGAGACGGAAGCGCGCGATTGGAGCGAAATGATGAGTGGCGATGCTTCACGCGGATAGCTATCGACGGCTGTCCGCGTACCTTCGGGAACGAAACCCATGTTGACTCGATCTGCGGACAAGCGACGCGCAAGCACGTGGAGGACCGTTGGGCGACGCGCAAGCAGGTGGAGGACCGTTGGGCGGTCGGCGTGTGAGAACAGCAGGAACGTCTGTGATAGGGGCTGTATGCACGGCGAGGTCGTTGTTGGTATTTGCTACGCGTCTGTCAGGGGAATTGTATTAGTCCGCTTCTACATGTACAACATATACACAAGCTGTCAGTACTAGGAACGCCACTCGCTAGTAATCTGGGAAATCCCCAGGTTGGGATGAAGGAGGTATGATGGGTGCTGTGCTGGCGTCAGACTGCCGTCATGCTGGCGTAAGCGTTGCATGCATCAAAGCAGAAGCATACGCCGCGATTGGCGGAATGGTGACAGGTGAGCGAGTTTGCGCGTAGCAACTGCTGCCGCGACAGTTACTCGAAGTCGACGGGGGAGCGGAGATGGGGTGAGCGGGGAGAGCGGCTTGAGGGGAGCGCGCAATTCGGCTGAAGGCGCACGGCAGGAGGATGAAGGGGTGTTGCGTGCGGTGCACGCCGCGATATTCACCATGTTATAAAACTGTGAAGGAAGCGAGTGCACAGAGTTGTCAATAACGAAAATGATTATTACAACATTTCATCATAAATATGAGAACTTACCAAAATACACATTCTCCTTTCTTGGCAAAGTCGGCACAGTAAATTCTCCGCTCTAGCTGCAGGGGTGGCCCTAACCGAACCTTGCACTTTACCTGGGTTCCTCAAGTGAAGATCCTATGGTATGGTGGTACATGAAGATAACGACTTCAAAAAGCCTACGTACTCAAGTTACCTAACAACGTCCGGGACTCTTCAAAGTCTGTTTCTTTACCATCATCCAGGTCATAGGCAGGGTACTCTAATCTACAGTACCACCGGACCACCCACTCTACACCCGCACCTACAGCCATCCCCACAGCGGAAAACCCTACAGCAATCAGATAGGGAGGATAATCGTACGCGTCTAGAAACGTCCGAGCCAAAGACTCAACATAGGTCTCCCCGGGGCGCTGTTGTGACTTGGCCCAGACCACAAGGGCGAGAAGGCCAGAGGCGCAGCCAGTTGCAGAAGATGCAGGGGTGATGCAGACACGGGAGAGGGGGCCTTGCAGCACGCCGAGCAGCAGAGGCAGGAAGGACGTGGTGTTGATGAGGTTCACGAGGAGGAAGAGCTGTAGCACGTTGAAGCCTTGTAGCGAGACGAGCAGTGGCGGTATATTGAGGATGAGAACGAGGGCTCGGATAGAGGAGATGGTGAGGCCAGGCCCATGGTGGGGAGGGGCTAAGGCGGATGGGACGGGATCAGGATGAGTGGCAGAGGCAGGTGGCGCGTGCACCGTGGTAGCACCAGCAAGAAGAGGGCAGGCAGTGGGAAAGGAGGAAGGAGTTAGCAAGGTGCGGTGAACGAGGGGAAATGGGTCCGTGTGTTGAGGTTGAGATGCCTCTCTCGCACCACCTCCTGCCTCCACATGCTCCGTGCACTGCACCTGTGTCAGCCTCGCCTCCTCCTGCCGCTGCACGCTGCCCTGCCCGCCCTCTTTATCATGCACGCGGCGCTTGCTGCTGGCAGAGCAGGAGGGGTGGGCGAGCAGGAGGGCGGCGACGGCGTCAACGGTGGCGTTCTGCAGCGAGTCCACAGCGGACTCGCTCATGGTGACGGCCAGCAGCGCCACCGCCACCAGCGCCCATGGGTGCCCGCGGAACAGCGAGAAGAGGATGGTGTTGCCGCTGTCGTCCGGGCCTTCCGGCTCGTACACACCGCTCCACGCTGCTAGCAGACCTGCGACGGATGGGGCAGAGATGGTTGGGAGAGGCAAGCATGAGGAGAGGAGTGCGCGTGACCACTGCATGGCAAAACAGCCTGCGCGGTGCGGGAGACCAGACCCGGCAGTACAAGGCAGCAATGCAAAGAAATAGGGATGTGGCAATAGCAGCAGGTGCATGGCAGCACATGGCAGCAGGTGCATGGCAGCACATGGCAGCAGGTGCATGGCAGCACATGGCAGCAGGTGCATGGCAGCACATGGCAGCAGGTGCCAGCAGGGTGGCGGCAGCAGTGCTCTCACCGGCGAAGCCCAGCAGCCCCACGACGGCCGTGATGGCACCTGCTCCCAGCGCTGCTCCCCCCAGCAGCGCCGCCGCGCTCGCTGACGCCCAGCAGCTGGGGGGGGCGGGGAGAGCAACGTGCGAGAGGAGGGGGGTAGCCCGGAGAGATGCATGAGAGGAGAGACAGGAGAGAGACACAAGACAAGAGACAGGAGGGGAAAAGAGAGATAAGATGGTGAGGAATCGAAGCAGTGGCAGGTGGGTGAGAACCCACATTCCTCATTCACGTTCATTGAATCACGTCAGCCTACTACTGTTCAGTGCTGCAATTCGACCGCACGTGCCGCAAACACGGCCCTCACCACTGCCACATGGCTCTGACCGCATCTCACCACATCTCACCGCTGCCACATGGCCTCGTTGAAGAGCGTGGTGGCGAGCAGCGAGAGCGGCATGAAGAGCACCGCCTCCACCCCCCGCGGGTTCGACCACCCCAGGGCAGGGGGCAGCGGTGGGAGTGGCGAGGGGAAGTTGAGGAGCACGTGTGCCGTGAGCAGTGCTGTGAAGATTAGACTCGCCAGGGCCTGCTGGGGGGGAGTGGGGGGGAGGGCAGGAGGGAGAGAGGTTTGGGCAAGAGGAATGGATGGATGGAGGATAACGGGAAGGTGACGAGGAGGAGGCCGACAGAGGAGGCAGTGTAAATGAAGAGTGAATGAGTGGAGGGGCGGGGAGGGGGTGCGGTGGAGGGGAGGGCACAATGGACAGAGCAAGTGAGCCAAGTAAGAAGCAGAGCAGTGGGCGGGCGGCGTGCCTGGCATTGGTCGGTGACGATGGAGACGTAGAGCCCGCCGGCAGCGGTGTAGAGCATGGCGGTGGCGGCTGTGAGCATGACGATGGGCAGGCGGGGTGCGTGCAGCAGGCGGTGGAAGAGGTCGCCCAGCGCCGTGTACTCCGCCGCCATCGCCACCCCCATGTTGCCCACCGCCAACAGTGATATGTACACCGCGAACGGGCTGCCGTGATGTTGTTGGGTGCAGAGAGATAGGGGGGGGAGGGAATGTGAAGGCAGGAAACGCATGGTGTGCGTTGAGGTGGCAGCACAGCACGCCCCGTCTGTGACTGCTGTGCACATGCCACCGTGCTGACGACACGAGGCGCGCCACAGGACAGACGGAAGTGTGCAGCGGCACCAAGTGGTGGGCGGGAGTGTTGGAGGAGGGAGAGCGAGAGCAGCATGCAGCGGGTGGAGTGATGGCGGCCACAGCAGAGCAACGCCACACACAGGCCGGACGCACTGAGAACGGGGCATCACCACCTGGGGCTCGGAGCCAAAAGCGTTCGACCTCTGCCCCTTGTGCCCCTCTCCCTCCCTCACAGCCCGGAGCCATGGGCGCGCCATGGCATGGGCGAGGCGGTCACCAGTGTTGCCTTGCCATGGACGTGCTCCACTCCACTCCACCTCACGGGCGGGATCCCCCCCACACACTCGCCCTCCCACCCACGCACCACACGCCGCATCTCGCTCGCATGTGTTCAAACCCAAAACCCTCCTTCCTACCCCTCCCCCTCCGTGGGAGTTGAAGCAGCGCCGTGCAGCACTCACAGGCCGAAGCGGCGGCGCACATAGTCGGCCATGGACACCACGTTCGGCACGAGGCGGTGCACGGCGGCGCCCACGCACGCCACGAGCAGCACGGGCAGCCCCGCGCACACCGCGTACACGAGCGTGCCCATGGCGCCCGCCGTCAGGCAGTAGCTGGGCGGCCCAAACAGCGCCCACGACCCCATCGCCGACGCGAAGAACGACCTGCGCGCGGTGGAGAGCGGTGGAGAAAGGTGTGAATGGAGGGGCAGAGCAACTGCGCGCAGGAGCTGACGGACGGGGCGGAGAGGAAGGGCAGCGGATGGACGGTACGGGGAGATCATGCAGCCCGGAGAGGGGCGCGGAGGGCAGCGGTGGGAGGTGAGAGGTGGGTGGTGTGAGGCAGCGCACGACGGTCGCGCGGGAGAGCGTGAGAAGGGGTAGCCTTCCCTGCGACGCACCATGCGACCATGGACGTCTTGACGGATCGGCGCGCAGTGAGGAAGAAATCAGGCGAGTCGGGCCCTCCCTGCAGCTTCTCCCGGTGCGCCGCATACGCGCACGCGCCCAGGCCGAACGCTAATACCACCGCCACGGCGAGCGTGTACGCGATATAAGAAAATTCCTCCATGGCTTGTAACGAAGGTTCCCTCCATCCCAAAAATCCTAACACCGAAGTGGCGTCGAAAGCGAGGGATACCATGAAGCGTGGGGTAACCCCACTTCCCAGTTCCCTCAAAGAACCCCGCGGGTTACCGAGGGTAAGCGACAGCAGCGAAATGGTAATGCGCTCGCGTTGAGTTTCGGGAAAACAATTGTGCCCAATCAGGCTAGAGCTATGTTCGTTGAATCCGGGATTTCCCCAAGTACAACACATCAGGTATTGTAAGGAAATTCCCTTTTCCTTACTTCGCATCTCTGCTCAACGCGTACATCACTGTAGCACCTCAGTCAGCACCGTTACCACTCGCGACCATCGCATCATTCATCATCCCGCCATTTTCGCACATCGCATCCCGACCTCACGGCTCGGCTTGTAACCCGCGCTCCGGGCCTACGCTTCGACACGTTCCCAACCTCAGTCCCAGGCTCGTCGCGCGACCATTACCGTTACCACTGTAGTTTCGCTATACATTCTTCGCTCATACATTCGCTCATTGTACTCTTGCTTCGATAGTGCAATTCTCGTTCGTTCACTCAATTGCACTCGTAACACTTGGTATTTAGAGCCTACGATCCCATCTCGGACCGCATCCACAGCTTCACTTCCCCACTATCTCAATTTTTGGGGGGGGTTAGACGTCTCTCAGCGATACAGCACCGCCGCTCGTAGTGCTCTCTCGCAAGCAGGCACGGCCACGACCGAGGCTCTCGCTGAGCTTGCCCGACACCCCCGCCATGGCCGATTTCACGCTCGCCACATTGACGCAGGAGCAACTTGATCGTCTCGTGCGTCAACTGGAGGATTCGGCGCTTGAAATCGCGACCCTCACGGCGGAACGTGACTCCGCCCGTCAACAATCCACGATGAACGTACCGACGACATCCCACGCACCAACAAACGCATCTGCACGTTCGGATGAGCCGATCATCATCTCGTCCGGCACACCAACACAACACGACAGCACGGGACAACGCTCAGGCGCAGCCAGTGAGGGCGCCGCCCAGCCGATGCCTGGCATGGGAGGAAACAGGATCGCACCAAGCCCACGGGAGCCTCGAGAAGTACGTCGGCACGTGGAATTTGCAGCGACAAGTGGCGAACAACCCAACATGGCACCAATGCCGCTCAAGCCGCAACGCCCGCCCTGCTTCGACCCAAGTCAACGCGGCGGTCCGACAGTTCAATCGTGGGTCTTCACGATGAACGTTTTCTTCGACGCCAATTACGTCGAGTCCGACGCCGCAAAGATCCGGTATGCGGTTTCACTGCTAAGAGGCCCCGCCATGGACTGGTGGCGAGTCATCGTGACGTCGCCACGCGCCTACGAGCCACCGTCGCACGAGGAAGGGCCCTCGGGTCCAGCTGTCACCTGGAGTTCGTTCTGCGAGACCGCCCAATACAGCACGTGGGATGCGTGGTGCGCAGGACTTCGGGCGCGTTTTGAGCCGATCGCGGCTTCAATTTCGGCGCGTCAGAAACTGCGCACTTGGCGCCAGCTCGGGTCAGTTCAAGACTATACCAGCAGTTTTCTCGCACTTTGCGAGCAGGTCGGCTACATGCACGAAGCGGAGCGGGTGGACCGTTACGTCGGAGGGCTGAAGCCGGACATCTCGCACGAGATAATGCTGCGCGGACTCTCTAACTTCAACGAGATTCTCGCGCTCGCCGAGAAGATCGACATTCTACGCCGACCGAGACCGGGGTCCTATTACGGACATCGTCCTCGGGGACCGACCGAGCACGCCACTGTACACGCCGTCGCAAAGAATGCAACTGCCGCACCGTTTAAGGGGCGCTGCTTTGCTTGCAACAGGCCGGGCCATCGCAAGAGCGAATGCCTAGAGGAGCTGAGGCGCCGAGGAGCAGAGCAGGGGAGAGAGTCTCAGAGGCAGGGAAACGCCAGCAGTCAGTAGAAGTTGGGCCAACTACTGACGAGACTGCCTGCTCGCCCAACCACACCGACCCTCACCGAGTCACAGTACCGATTCATGCCATCGATTGGGCTCGGATGAATAAGGAGGGTACAGCGACGGATTGCCCGGTACTTATCTACGGGGAAATACAGGGAGCAGCAGTGAAGATTTTTATTGACGGAGGAGCAAGTCACAGCTTAGTTAATACCGCAACCGCACGGAAATTACAGTTAACACTTAACCGATGCTTACCTGAGATAGATGCACGCTTAGTCGACGGCACGCCACTGGCTATACGGGAAAAGGTGGAGAGGGTAAAGGTCCGCTGCGGAGGGAACTTCGGGTTTACACAGGAAATGCTCGCAACGACACTGGATGGGCACGACATTTTATTGGGACGTGATTGGCTGCGACGGTATAACCCACGAATTGACTGGACGACGGGTAGCTGCACAGTGCGAAGTAGTGGTAACTGGGTCGTCCTACCTCGCTGGCAGCCACCCGAGTCTTCGACGGTCCAGGTCAACGCCATCACGATGAAACGGGCTGTCGCTGCTGGAGCTGACGTGTACGCAGTGGATATCGCATTAGTGGAAAAAGAGGACCGGCCGAGTGATTTGCAGAAACTGTTGGCAGCCGTACCACCCGAACTACAGGCACTACTGAAACGGTTCCCGGGTATCTTTCCGGATGACTTACCGCAAGGGCTGCCACCTCAGCGGGCGCATGACCATAGGATCGAGTTAGAACCGGGGGCACAGCCAACTGTACAGCGCCAATTTCGACTGACACAGCCCGAGCTCGACGAGCTAAGGAAGCAGTTAGATTACCTGTTAGAGAAGCAGTTTATCCGACCGAGCTCGTCACCGTTCACCGCACCGATACTGTTCACACCGAAAAAAGACGGAGGGTTTCGCATGTGCATCGACTATCGAGCGCTTAACAGGGTAACAGTAAAATCACGATACCCCATCCCCCGCGCCGACGAACTGATCGACCAGCTACGAACCGCACGAGTATTTTCGAAAATCGACTTACGGGGAGGTTACCATCAAATTCGGGTCGAACCATCCGACTGCGCCAAGACAGCATTTAGGACTAGGTACGGGTCATTCGAGTACACAGTGATGCCTTTCGGGCTGACCAACGCGCCTGCAACATTTCAGATGACCATGAACGAGGCGTTTAGGCCAATTTTAGATAAATGCGTCATAGTTTACCTCGACGACATCCTCGTTTACAGTCGGGACCAGCAGCAGCACTTAGTAGATCTCGAAGCAGTTTTTAAAATTTTAGAGGCACATCGGTTACTCACCAAGGGCTCCAAGTGCGAGTTTTTTCGGGACAGGCTAGAGTTTTTAGGTCACGTCATTTCGGAGGCTGGGGTTGAGATAGACCCTAAGAAGCTGGATACCGTAAAAGCGTGGCATCCCCCGACGAACATCACGGAACTACAGAGTTTTTCAGGGTTTGTTAATTACGTTCGTCGGTTCGTCCCCGACATGGCGCGCTCACTGATTTACTGCGTAAGGGGGTCCTTTTTACGTGGGGGGAGAAAGAGCATGCTGCCTTCTTTGCCCTGAAAGATGTTCTCTGTTCACCACCCGTCCTACGCATCGCTGACCCACACCGCCCCTTCGAAGTGGTTACAAACGCAAGTGACATCGCCATCGGAGCAGTACTGTTACAGGACTTCGGCAACGGCCTCCAACCCATCGCCTACGAATCACGCAAGCTACATCCACCTGAGCGAAATTACCCGATACACGACCGCGAAATGCTCGCGATCGTGCATGCCTTCAAAGTGTGGCGCTGCTACTTGACCGGCGCAGACGTGACAGTACGGACAGACCATCGATCCCTACAGTACCTTCGCGCACAGCCCCACCTCAACCCACGACAGATTCGGTGGCTCGACTTCCTCGAGTCGAATTTCCACTATACGGTCACATATAAAAAAGGAGCCTCGAATATCGCCGACGCACTGACCCGCCCCACTGCCCAAATCCATGCGATACTACTCGCCCAGACCAGCCCGTGACTGACAAGACTATTTACCCACGGATATCAAACAGACCCATTCTTCACAGGAGGAAATTCACAGCAATTCGCAGCAGCCAAGGGGGTCTATTACGTAAAAGCTGGATCCGACCGCATCTGGGTACCAGGGTACACGCTACTACGGGAACTACTGTTACAGGAGGCACACGACGGAGTTACCTCGGGACATTTCGGAGTAGAAAAAACACGGCAGCAGCTGCAGCGGTACTATTACTGGCCGGAAATGTTGACCGACGTGCAACGACACGTGGCATCGTGTCCCACTTGCCAACTCATGAAGTCAACCAGGACGCGGCCGGCAGGACAATTACAACCAATCCCACCTCCAGAGCGTGCTTGGCAGCAGGTGACGATGGACTTCGTCACGGGGTTACCGGCCGGGGCGAGTGGGAATGACGCGATCCTGGTCGTCGTCGATCGACTAACGAAAATGGCACATTTCGCAGCATGCAGGAAATCAATCACAGCCGAGGAAAAAGCCCGACTCTTCATCGCCACCGTCGTTCGACTGCACGGGATACCAGCGTCAATCATCAGCGACAGGGACACGAAGTTTACCAGTAATTTCTGGCGGAACCTGTGGCAGCAGTTCGGCACGCGACTTCAATTCAGTTCATCGTATCACCCCGAAACCGACGGACAGACAGAACGGACAAACCAGACTATGGAGCAACTCATTCGAGCCACGTGTGACGATCCAAACACGTGGGAGCAGCAGCTGCCTCTCATCGAGTTCGCATAAAACAACGCGCCATCTGCCAGGACCCAACAGTCGCCATTCTACTTGAATTACGGACAGAACCCAACAGTACCCATGACACCAAAC